TGTCATTGACCATGCAATGAAACGAAAACAAAGGAATAAAAAATTCGCAAACGTTGATGGTGCTACAAAAGATGTGATTCGCCGAACAATTTATGGTATATACCAAAAAAATGAAGTACCAACCTTGGAAATGATTTGGTATAAATTATGGCAACGGCGAGTCAAAGTCACATCACACGCCGCTTTTCGGTTTAGAAATCGCGCGTTTCACGAAAAAATAAATACACGTGATATCTTACTACACCCCCCTTGTGATATTTCGTGATTTTTGCTAAACACCCTCCCCGCTTTTCAAGCCTCTCGTGATTAATGGACGATCCGCTACGGCTAGTAAACCCGGAAAATAGCTCCGACACAGTCATCTCCTGCCGTGAAAGTTTACAATTTATGATTGTTAGTACTTTTCAATGAAAAATAGTTGACATCAGTGCCGAGAAAACACTATCAATATTTTTTGAAGCTGAGAAGGGGGATCTTGTGATAACTTGTTTGATACGTCTTTCAATGCTCTATTCAACAGTCATTCATTATTGAAAATCAGTCTGGCCATTCCTGATTGAATCGCTATATATTTTTTGTAAAAATCCATCTGATGAAATCTGTTTTCCAGCTGTCGCCCCCCCTATGAACGACAACTCTCAAAAGTCGAAACATGTGTGAGGTAACGAGGTCTTACCTTTTAACGTGTGATTCCTAACACGATAGGAAAACAAACGATAAATATAATTTCAACAGAAATGTTATTCAAAACTCAATCCTGTTTTTTCCAAAAATCTTCAAAACGTTTACTTGTTACTTCCTGACAATCATTTATGACAAGTTTATATGATAAATTTTCGAAACTTTCTGAAATAATTCCGTGTAAGTTCTAAAATAAACGGTAGATTACTTTTCATGCATTTGGATTGAATACGTTGGTGATGTAATTGCTGTTTTCTACACGGATAGTAAGGTAGAGAATTGTGTTTCTTTATCAACAACAGATCCCAAAATATAAAGTTGGCGTATGAAATTGAAAATATGAGAGGATTACCATTGCTGGATGTTCTAGTTATGAGAAGCGCCGATAATGATAGAATCCACGTTCTCTGTTCAAAAAATAAGGTAAATTTCAATTTTTCACAAAAAAAATTATTTATTCATGAATTTCTATTTTGTCCCTTCGAAATAGTCTCCCTCAGCGTTTTCTTCAATCGTCGAAGCAGTTCTGATATGCACTTTTTGGTTTGTCTTTGAGCTCTCACAGCGATTCGGATTTATAGCAAAATGCCGTTCTTTCATAGATCTCTTCAACTTTGGAAACAAGAAAAAGTCACAGGAGTCAAATCTGGTGAATATGGTGGCTTAGGTATGATTACGGTGTTTTTTTGGCCAAAAAAATTACAAAAAGCAACGACGACTAAGCAGGTGGCATTATCGTGATGCAAGAGTTTTTTGTATTGCTCATAACAAGCGGCGCATAACTTATTGACCGTACGATCATGTGGCAAGAACTCCTGATGCACTATGCCACGGTATTCGAAGAAAACAGTGAGCAAAAACCTTGAACTTTGATCGAACTTGCGTGATTTATTTGGTATTGGCTCTCCGTTGTGACTTTGGTTTCGATGTTATCACCATATCGCCGTTGATGGCAACCAACAATTCCTGAGCGATGCTCATGGAACGAACTTCGCTTTCACATGCTTCACACCCCCAAAATTTTCGAAAAAATGTCATGGCATGAGTCAATCGATATGCCGACATCCTCAGCAACTCTCTAATAGTGATTCGACCATTCTTTATAACAATTTTCTTCACTTTCTCGACATTTTCTTCGGTTGTTGATGTGGTATTGCGTCCAAGGCGGGCGTTATCAATAACGTCTTCTCGACCTTCTGTTCAAAACTTGTACTACTTATAAACATTGTTGTGACTCAGAGTACAATCACCGTATGCCACTGTCAACATCTCAAGTATTTTTGTGCAGTTAATACATTTTTTTCGATAGCAGAAAATCGCGGAAAACGTAAAACACTTGTAACTTCAATGCCTCTCACCAACAAACTAAACATGCTGAACAGCTGAGACTGTGAACAAGTGTTCGAGACGAGTATACCAACATAAAGCAATCAAAAACGCTAATGGAACCTACATAGCCCGCGAAATTTGAACAATCACCTCATTTTTTTAACAATCCACTATATAGAAAGAATACCAACACTTTCAGATATATGCCTATCAGTTCCCACAATTATCCACAACGAAATATGACAGAACTATATTGTCTGCCCATAACTGGACACGTTCCCCTTAAGCAAACAAAGAAATGATATCGAAGGAAAATCATTAAGGAAATAGCTGAAAGTACTGGAAATCCTCCAAACACAATAATGAATAAATTAATTAGAGGACAAAAATTTTGAGAAAGTGAATCCTGTCTGTTCAAAAAGGCATAGATCTAAGATTCTTATTTCTTTCGTATGAACCAAAATACAACAAATACACGAACCAAATAACACTAAAAGATTGATTCGAATTTTTGAAAAATTGAAAATGAAAATGGCTTTCAAAACTGCTCGTATACACTTTAATGAATGTTGGTCAACCCAAAAGACAAGATGACGGTCAAGGAAAAGCCTGAGATTTACGGAATGAGCTATGAGGATTATGATAAAAAGTATGATGATCAAACTGAGCGGACTGAAATAGCTCGCTACAAGGAACACGTTTCACATATTCGGTTTTATAGACCAAAGAAGTATTATGTCATTCAACGTGCCTCAGAGAATGGTCTCAGAATAAATGGGGGCTGCTTGAAATTGTTGGGATCGATACATTACAACAGATTTTTGGATGCCTTCGAAAGTTTAGAAATCAAAAAATGTGGAATAGATTGTATGAACAACGACATTCCGAACAGCCCGTTGTTTACTCTCTTACTTTATTATTACAGATGATAAACAAGTTGAGATATCATAGCAGGTAGTAATTGACATTTCATAAAATAACAATATAAGCCCGGTGACATAGTACGCGATTTCCGAGCGGTTTTTTTCAGCGCGATTTCCGAGTGGTTTTTTCCGACGTAGTTTCCGAGCGGTTTTTCATTTTTATGACAGCACCTGCATTTAAATGGAACATGACAGTGTTTGCGATTTTCAACAGAGGCAATTTTTTACAGCCGACCGGTCGTCGGATTCCGAACGACAGTCGGGTGGTAAGGGCGACCAAGTAAAGGTAGAACCCAGGTGAAAAGTGTTGACTGATTCCGAGCGGTTTTTCAGTTAAGATTCGAGCATGGAAGTAAAAACTTTAATTCGTAGAGTGAAAAATCATCCTTGTTTGTGGGACAAAGGTGAATATGTATTACAAATACATATTTTGATTTTATGTATTTTCAAGTTTCCAATAAGATTAGTTAGTCATGTCTCCCGCTAAAAGAAATATGTGATCGATACAATATTTTATAAACTAGAACGAACCTCAATGTAACAGTAAGCCTCTCTTCAACGCTGATAGGTACTCTTCTTGTGCAATATTTCTGTAGCAAAGGTCGAACAACTGCCACAAGTTCATCTTTTATGACATTATGGACATTCGGTAATAGGTAAAAAACTTGTCTGCATATTCTCTGATTATTTGTATAAAACAGAAAACCTTTCTTTCTGGTTCCTCTTTTGGTGGTACGATTGCACGTCGTACCTCCTCGGGTAGCGTCTTCCAGCAAAAGCGTCTTTTGCTTTCAAAGCGCAAAAGAATACCACCATTTGATGGTGAAATATCGCAGCAGCAGCATACTTCATAGTAGTTGCTTTGTAGGCGCGAACGATACTAGAAGATGACAAGGGAATATTTCCCCTTCAGTCAGAAACCCGGACTACCAGGAAATCGCGAACACTGTTAGGTACTCACTGTAACGATTTTTATCCAGTAATTTTCGCTCGGAAACTGCGCTGAAAAATCCGCTCGGAAGTCGCAAAGTATAGCTAACACAAAAAGTTATACCAGGAATTATTTCAATGACGCTCAATAGATAATGGATGGTACCTCATGTCTATAAAACATCAACAAAGACATCAAAATGTAGTTGTAGTCATTTCCTAATGATGGTAACTTGTTTAGCAGAATGCGCGTCGGGAGACCGTCAACGTACACAGACAGATAATTGAGTAAGAACTCCAAACGTAAACGATGATAAAAAAGTAATTGGTAAAAGGTAATTGGGTCCTGATTGATACGACAGCCGAAACGTCGAACAGATGAAAACTACAGACACGGTTCAACCCGGACTACAGTACGCCAAATTGAATTTTCCACGTTCCTAATTATATATTCGTGAATGGCTTTAATGTAAATCAATGTATTTTGTGGGGTTGTAAGGTTGCAATCAGATTGGTAGGGTTGTTACAAAGATGACTTTTTGTTATCTGTCAAGCTTTTGGTAAATTAATTACCCTACCATTACCAACTTAACTAAAAAAACAATTTCAGAAATGATCCATATCAATACCGAACAACATTATACGTTTTCACTTAAATACGATTTTCGTATTTAAGTAAAGATAGGAAAAAATCACCTAGTATTCAGAATTTTACCACACGACACTGTCAAAGTTTGACATATTCGAAAATTGTTACACTTCTTATTCCTTCCACTTTCAGCAAATCAATACATTTCTCTGTATATTAAGGAGAACGATGAAATATTTATTTCAAATTAGCATATTATTACGCAACTTCATGCGCGACATTTGTTGTCATTATTCTGACTTCTACCAGAGTATGTGTTTGTGGAAATGACCCACTCGGCGGCGACTAGGGCCTAGTATTCAGAAACCGATCTATCGGTAGTCATCCCAGCCAAAAAGAATTAATTTCAACTTCTCATATGTCAGGAATTATTTCCTCTGAATGTGTTATGTTGAAATTATGCAAAAGCAAGTCATAAATAATTCTTAAAACGGAACTTGGGTGCATATTTTTCCGAAATTCGTGAAATGAAACAAAATATAACAATCATATTTAATGTCAACTGAAAACAAACAGTGTTCATACAATAAATTTTCCATCAATTTCTAGTTTTAATAAATATAATTTCCAATCTCAGAGTAAAAATACATTAAATATTCAACAGAAAATATTCACAAAATGGTGTAAATTTCAAAAACATGAAAATTGAACATTTGAATAAAATATGTTTTAATGATAAAGCAAAATAACAATCACAGTGAATCACGAGGCAAGATGATACAGTAGAAAATATAGAAAAATATATATTCATAAATTTTAAACAAAGAACGACAGCTTAGTGCTATTTTGGAAATGAACATTGAAAAGGGCGTCAAGTGATAATCCAAATACCATCCATTATTAGCAACACAAACATGAGCATTAAATGGACTCCTATAAGCGAGGGTCTTTCAATTATCATTCCCTCATATGTATTCACTACTGGTCGAAAATAAGTACAGTGATACATAAGATTCCTTTGGAAAATATGAAAATTATTTTCCGTCTTACTCACATTTCTCACAAAAATTCATCACTTTCTATGACAACCATTCTCATATAAACTTTTTCGCTAAGAACTTACTGAGAACATCTCAATAAGAGTTCTGAAATTCAACAGAAAATTTTCCATAAATATCTTCAACCAAAAGAAACGTAGTAACGTTTTGAATTGACCAATAAATAGATCCATTAGATCTATGAATTCAAAACTGGCCTCTTTTAATGTAACAATAAAGACGATTTCAATCAGAGATATGTGAACTCCACCTTTCATATTGACTATATTCAATACCATGATGATTGTCCATATTTCTTCAATTCCAATGAAATCATTTATATATCGATAATATAATGGTATTATTATATTGGTTCACTGAATCGGGATTGAAAATTTGTATGGAATAAATTCAAAAGTGCCCTTGTTAGTCATTTCGACGTAGGTATGTCAAACAGACCAGTCAATTTAATGTCCAGTACATGTTCTTGAAAACTCCAGTCACAGTTCTTTGAAATTTCTCAGTCCAGTTATTATCTCTTCATTGTACAATGCATGTCCAAATTGAGTCCATCGGGGCTCAAAAATGGATTTCCATTGAATGTTCAAGTTGGTGGGCTATGGATATTCATGGGATATCTATTGGACGTCCCTTGTTCATCACTTTACGAATATCCTGTCCACGGGATATCCGTAAAGTTCACTTTGGATAACCACTGGACATCCAATGGATGTCCAAGTATTCATTGGGATAATCTGACTAGACAATTGTGAAATACAATATGGAATGCTATGTAACATGATTTCATAATGTCTAGCAAATACAATTTCATTTGGAAAATTTAAGATTCTTGAACCCAATTTACCCCTACTTCAAGTTTTTTCTTATTTCTAACAATCTACCAAAGCAAGAACATCATAATTCATATTTGTGCAATGTTTTCCAATAAAGAAAACATTATCACGGCCAAATTTTATTAAAAACTTCCATGAAACTGTCATATATCATAAAAGTAATGGCTACATCTAAGCACACCCTGCTCAGTCTTGGCACAGTTCCTTTGTAAAATGCTAGAGGACCTTCATTCTTCCAAATTCTTAAGAAACAGTCCAGAGTACTTTTATACTTTGCAGCTTCAAGTCCCTGCATACGAGTCTTCACTACATCTATGGGGGTGTTACCAAATACCGAAGCAGCACCTGAAAAATATTATGTCATTGAAATATCTGAAATATGAGAGGGTGCTTGAAGATACCCTTGCGGTCAGTGATTCATAACCCATATCTATCTAAAGTTAGTTCTTGAAATGAAAGACAGGTAGTCTGGGCAAATTAGGCTTCTTCTCTTCTAAAGTTTCATGTCACATATTCTCTCTATGAAAATTGTCATAGTTTTCTGCAAGATTTTCCCGAAAAAAAATTAGCACGGCAATGTCATGGGCTATAATGATTAGCCTCGTGTTGTGGGTAGGCTAGGTAAACAACTTCGTCAGCCCCCTTAGGAAGCAGCAAGACCATTCGCATCTAATCAAAGTTGGGTTTGACAGCCAGGCACTTGACCGTTATGGCAATTTACTGCTAGTCATAAATTATCGATCAAAACAACCTTGAGTACATACGCTGTTATAAATATAAAAAATTGTACAGAAAATTTCAATTCTTTCTCATTTTGGGAGTTTCAAAAATAATGATGGTATCCTAATTGTAACGATTTAGTCGATGCCAACTAAAATGAGTCAGCGCAGAAACGTAAAATTGTCCTGTGTTAAAAGACTTCATCGACTTAAGTCATATTTTGCATTGTCAGTAGGGCAACAGCCAGAAGTAAATAGTCTTGAGTCAAGCGTTGAGTTATAAGTTGAGTCGGGAATGACGATGCTAAAGTAAAAGATAAATATTTAGAAAAAAAAATTCAGATCAATGCTTTGGAAGATGTTCATCCTATCATAATAACGTTAGGAATGATTCAAGCTACGACAGTGACTTTTCTTCATCTTCTGAGTAAAAAAGTGAAAACATTTGAAATGTAATCTAGTAATTGAAATAAGCATACATTTTTTTTAGGATTCATCATAATTTGTATTGTTTTTGATGTTACTTTATTCTTACATTATATTTTATTGTTTTGTGTAATTCTATTAGTACAATTAATACAGGGAGTTTTATAAAAAAATATAACATTATGGTGTGACCACATAACAACACATGGATCTTAGTGGTGCTTAAAATTCATCATTGTAACTTTTTCCTGTATCTGAAGAGTAGGGAGGGTGAGTGTAAGCCCACAGTACTTAGGCCACATGTGACCCATTGTACATCCTCCCGAGGAGTTGTTCTCCTAGGTCATCGTGTAGGCCAAGACTCGCCGAACACACACTCTTTTATTGACGATAACTCCGGGCACTCGCACAGGACATTCTGCAATTTGTTTACCTATGACAATGTGGAAACACTAATTTGAAAATGTCGAACATAGTATAAAAAAACCTTTCATGTTCAGCAAATCGTTTTGATAAATTTCGACCACACTCTCCCACATAAACACTATTACACTTCGGACACTTATGGAGTTTATAAGCTTAAGTGATAATTCGAGATTTTCAAAGCATTCCTTGGAATGCAACCACAATTTCCCGAATCTAAACGACACGGAAATTTTGCACTATGCAAGCAAGGGTTGAAAACTCGATTATTTGGAATCCTTGGAAATTCAAAAGCATAAACATTGCTGATGTAATCTGGTAAATGATCAAATCGATCTAGTTTACTAACCTGTTTTCAAATGAGCCTATCCACATTGTCGCAGGTAAACAAATTTCTGGTACTGAATTAAGTTAAGGATCTCTATTATTATCTATAGTAGTTAAGGGCTGACATGATTCATTTTCAGTTTATTGTGTTTGAAAATGTCCTTATAGGACGAAACTGCAGTAACATTAATTTACAAATAAAAGTGGTAAAAAAGCATAGAAAGTTTTATTTCTCATTTTTAAATTGAAATAAGCAGCTTACGGTATTTATGAAAAATAACCGTTATCAATTTTCTAATTGTCCATTCAACATACTCGTATTTCTGTGAATATTTCTAAAAGCTCTAGTCTGCCAGTTCAAATTATATTCCTCGCTTTGAGGAAACTGGCAATCACTCAGTAATTTTCTTACAAGTTTATTTAGTTCAACGTGAATATTTACTTTTCCGAATTCTTTATTGGATAAAAAATAATTCGAAAGTTGTCCATCAACATATAAACCTAGAATTTTAGTTAACTAGATCACCATTACATAATATTAATCAGAGAAACTCATCTGAATATCTTTGAACAGAGAAGCCTCACTGTCAATCTTCTGAAACTAATTCATTCAACAATTATTCATAATCTTCGAATTCACGTATATTGAAATTAAATTAAATTATTTTTACTTGATACAACTAGACTCCCTTACCTGCAACAGCACCAAATGCTCCAACGAATAATTTAGGAACCTTCTTGTCCCTATCACCACCTTTGTACATGTCTTTGAGGGATTCCATGACGAAAAATCTAATGGCTTGATTGGAACCTTGTTTCATTATGGTTGCCGTTAAACCTTTATATACCCCTCCAAGTCCTGAAAAATGGCATATTTGAAAAATGTGTAGATGAGAAAATGTGTAGATTGCCCAATTAGTTAATTTAAAGTATTACAGTTTACTTAAAATATGGTACCACCTCCTTTTATCGTACAAAGTCACCTTAAAACAATGTTGATTAGAAGTTTTTCACTTCTAGTAACTATGGAACGCCGTTTTACTTTTTATTGTCACAAATATTCATTCCTCAATTTATTCAACTAACAATTTATTTGTTTGAATTTAATTGACTCATGCATTTGTTCGACACATTAAAAACGATTGTTCGCAAAATTTGTTCTATTTTAAATGACACTTGATTTAAAATGTTA